AAGTCTGGTCTTTTTTTGTGAATTTTAAATTTGTTCTACATTTTTCTCCCACTCTGTCCGGGATGCTGTATTGTGATCCCTGTCATAGTGGTCTGTGCTGCTGGTGGTGGTTGTGGTAGCTGGACACCATCTAGTTCTTCTGGGCTCAAGCTGGTAGAGGCTGTGGTTCATGTGGTCCACTAGTGCTCTGGACTAGTATTTTCCTTGAGTCTTTGGTTTTTTTATTTCTCCTTTGCTCTAAGCAAGATGAGACCAATCTGTTTTAGATGGCTGCTTGCAAGCTTTTAAGACCCCAGATGCTACACACCAAAGTAGGACGCAGAACATTTTCTTTATAAACTATGTTATGCCAATTGACCTAGATGTCCCCTGTAAATGCTCATTTTTACCTAGCAATAGATGAGGTTATAATGAGTCCCAGACTTCTGCTTGAGGCCAAGAAAAGTGGAAAGATGTACTAGAGACCGTACCCGCATCCCTGCACATAAAGCCTGGACCTCTAAGAGGCTGAGAAAGAAGCCTTTAAGTAACTACTTGCAATCTGTACATGAGACTTCTGCAAGCAATAACCACAGTCTTCCATAATCTACATATTATCTGTGCTTAACAACATTTGCCAAAAAAATCTCACAGAATCCTGAACACAAAGTATGTGCTACTGCTAATCTGCATATAAACTTTGTGCTAAAGATCTCCACTCAAAGACAGTGGCCAACCAGGTTAAGATAGAAAATTCTATAATTTGGTAAACAACCTAATGCTGTTTTCTCTTATTCTGTTCTATTATCCTTCTCCCAAAATCCTCAAGAGGTCAGTGTCTTGATGGGCACCATATACATGTGTATAATAAAGTTTTCCCATGTGTTCAATTCAGTTATGTTCCTCCCACCCCACACTACAGGGTGAAACCTGCAACAGATGAAGTTAAAAAGCAAATAAAGAAATAAAAATTCTGACCACAGGAGACAGTAGGATACTTTTTGGCCTTGGCCTTAACTTGGGGTTGTTGTGTTAGCTTCCATCAAGTTGGCCCCCAACTCATGGAGAACCCAAGTACATAAAACAAAACATTGCCTGGTCCTGTGACATCCCCATGATTGGTTGTGGATCAGACTTGTGATCCACAGGGTTTACACTGGCTGATTTTTCAGAAGTAGATCACCAGGCCTTTCCTCCTACTCTGTCTTAGTGAGGAAGCTCTGCTGAAACCTGCTCAGGATCATAGCAATATACAAGCCTCTGCTGACAGATAGGTGATAGCTGCACATGAGGCCCCTTGGCTACATGGAAGGCAAAAGTTCTACCAATGAACCACCAGGGTGAAGGAGAAACAAGAAAAATATGGCCTCCTCTGAGAATTACTAACAAGACAAGGCTCACCCTGGTTGGGAACCTGAATTTATTCTATGTGTATGACTCAAAAAGTTCCAAGCCATGAGGGGACCTCCCCCCACCAAGAAAGCAGTGCCAGCAGCAGAGTGTGTCCTTCGAACCCAGGGATCCTGGCATGGAGAAGCTCCTAGTTCAGGGGAACATTGATGAGATGGCCAACATAAGACAGCCTTTCCCTGGAGTCGACGGCCTGAATTTGGACTTTTAGCCTACTTTACTGTGAAGAAATAAATTTCTCTTTGTTAAAGGCAAAAAAAAAAGTTCCAAGCCATGAAAGAAAACCGGCATAGTTTAAGTGATATTAGAGGAAATACATGTTAAGATGTTACTCAACAGTGCCACATTTTAATAAAAGTGTCAATTCCCTAGGAAAATATAAAAATTTTAAACTTGTAGCTTCCTAATAAATAGCTTGAAAACATGTCAAATAAAAACTGAAAAAACGACATGAAGAAATAGACTAATTTTACCATCCAAGTAGGAGATCATTAGATTAGGCTGACCAAAACAAAAAGTGGTAACTTTAGTGAAGAGTAAGACAGTACACAATAATGGAGAAGCCAGCACAACTTGTACAAGGAAAGGTCATGGAAGCTCCCTAGACACATCCAAACTCCCTGAGGGACTTAATTGCTGGGCGAAGGGCTATGGGGATCATGGTGTTGGGGAACATCAAGCCCAAATGGCGTAACACAGTTTACAAAGAAAATGTTCCACATTCTACCTTGGTGAGTAGCATCTGGGGTCTTAAAAGC